CATCTACATTAGGGCCCTGTGCCCCCCCCCCATACCAACATCTACATTAGGGCCCTCTGCAGCCTCCTCTACCCCATCCCTGGTCCTTCCCCCAGGGTCCACAGTGCCCCCATCTGGGAAAAGCACCTCCTGCTCAGGATTGCTGAGCTGCAGGAAACTGGTCCCAGTGGTACTGAGCCGGCTCTGCCCAGGGATGCTGGTGCGTGGCTGGGCCCCAGTTTCAGCGGCACAGGGCAGCTGCTTCGTGTTTTGGGGAATAAACAGTTAAAGCAGCTTCTGCTGTGAAAGCTGTGACTCTTTCCATATGGACAGGCTCACTTCCCCTATTTTTGCTGGTTAGTTCCTCTTCCCAGGATCGTTCTGGCATGGGACGAGGCTGAAGCAAGAGCTGTGACTGGGGGTGGGTGGGGGGGAGACGGAACCATAGATGCGTCTGTGCTTTTGCCAGGATAAGGCCGGGAGCAGGGGGAACGGACGACAGGAACATTGTCAGGGATGGTCTTGCTCGCCCCAGTGTGGGGCTTGGGCCCCAGAGTTGCTGGAAAACCCTGGTGTGGGGAGCCCCTTATTGAAGGCTCCCACACCAACCTGGAGCCATCTGCATTTCAGACCGGGCTGTGAGGTCATCTCACCTAAAAATCTAGCCATGGGTTTCACTGCCATCCAACTTCGAAGCCTAAGCAGTGGCCCCCGGCAGAGAGCTGCAGCCGGCGACGGCTGTGGCCCCTGGGATCAGAGGAGGGAGAGAAGCCCCTTGAGGCAGACAGGAGCTGCCTTGTCTCTCCACCATGCAGGAGCAGCTCCCAAATGGAAACCAGGGCTTCTCTGTGCTGTGTCTGCTGCCATGTGCTATCCTGTCTCGTGGTGACTGAGATGCAGCAGAGCAAGGCAAAACCCGTCCACTGCACCCAGCTGGGGGATTAAAAAAAATACATTTCCTTCCTGACTGCCATGGGGTATGAGCAAATGCTGAAGCGGGAGAGCAAGCCATGCTCACCGGTTGGTGGGCTCTGGGAGGGGAGACAGAGACCTGGGCAGGGCTGCTGCTGCTGTCCAGAGGATGAGGAAAGGGAAGTGAGGGAGGATGGCCACCAGCGGAGCTGCAGGTGCTGGAGCAAGAGGGGGAAATGTGGTTTGGACCTCCCCCCAAAAACAGCAGAGCCATTAAATGCTTGGGGCTGGGGCGAGGGGTGGGATGTGCTGCTCATGGAAAGCCACAGCGCTGATGCAACCCAAATTGGCAGGGCCTGGGATGGATGGAGGCTAAGGAAAACCTTTTTGGTGCCGCTTCTGGGCTTCTGGGTGCCAGGTCTGACATCTGGCCCCATTGCTGGCTCTGGCAGGGACCCTTGGCCACCTGGGTCCCAGCCCCAAGCACACAGTGCCCTGGCACAGCAGGCTTGTGCATCATCATCATGCTGGGGCTTCCTGTGAGCTGGGATTCCTTGCAGTGGTGCGTCGTATAGCCTCATCCTGCCGCTTGTTCCTGGCACTGGGAAGTTGAGAATAAATTTGGCTGGGAAGGCAGCACAGTTCAGTGCTCCGGTGGTAAAAAGCGGGTGGCCTTAGAAAAATGCCCAAGGGCTACTAATAAATATATCAGTTTGCAGCAAAGTTCCTGGTGGGAGGAATTAGAGATTGTTACTCAGTGAACAGAAAAAACACAGATTGTAACCCCTGAGCAATATGAGCCTAAGTGCTTGTGGGGATCACCCGAGACTGACGTTAAACCAGAAAAGCATGAGGTAGCCTACAGCCACCAGGGCTTGCATCAGCCAGCGGTTGGTTGCTGGCTTGGATTGCTGCTCAGCACCAAAGCACGGAAATTTCTTAGGATTGATGAAAAACTGTGTATATATCATGTCAATAAATAAATAGAGAGTCTATATATACACACCCACACATATAGATATTTAAGCTTTTCTTGGCTATGCAGAAACCTGAAAGGGGAGGGGATACTTTTACAAAAAACAATCCTTTTGTCCTCATTGATGTTTTATTTTTAGGCAAAGCCTGCAGAATCTTGTCACAATGAGAAGTGGAGAAATGTTGAGTTCAAAAGCCATCAAAATGAATTGTGGGTTTTTTCAGTTTTGTTCCCTTTTCTGGCTGTGACTATTAGCAGTTGGTAGAGGAGGTGGCCTGATTTGTGAATTTCTGTGGAGAAAGCAGGACTGAGCAATTTTGCGAGCTCTGTACCTGGCACAGGGGCTGGTAAATGAAGGAGACAGAATGGGAACCCAGGCCATGCAGATGCAGGTATGACTTGAGTGGTTGTAAGCATGGTCCTGGCTGCTTGTTTTAATTAACGTCTCTGCATTAAGATAGTGATTCAATCTAGTGTCAAGACCTGCCTCCTAGAGAGACCCAAACTCAAAGCACCTTCAGGCAGAAGGGACCTTTCTCCTGAAAGTCAGCCACAACCTGTTTTTCTACAAGTGATCTCCTGAAATTTTTAGGGCTCTGTAGACCATCTCGACAGGGTCAGGTCATTCCCCAGCAGAGAGCTGCAAAAGCAGTGAGGAGCCCAGGAGGCCCCTGGTGACAGTTTCACCACGCCACTGGGACTGGTGACAGCCAGCACACACGCGGGGATGGCAAGGCCAGACAGGAGGAGTAAGCATGTCTTGCCTGACCTCTATGCAGCCGAAGCCAACTTTGGCTATTCCTGTTCCCTGCTCCACCTGATGCAGACCAGTGCTTTAAGTTGCTCTTAAATTAACATAATTTAAATCCACTGTTTTTTTCTCTTTCTGTCCCATGTTGCTTGTGCAACCTCTGGCATGGAAGGTGTAGAAAACAGTCTTTAAGCACTTACAGACTGTCTCCTTCCTGGGTAGAGTAAAACTAAATTTTTTAGCAGTACCCTTACAGCACCAGAGGGAGTGTGAGCAATTAGGGGCGTGCTAATTATCCCCTTTGTGAGGATATTTCCCAGGGAGTCTAATTGCAGGTGAGTGGGCCATTTAATGGGCCCTATTACATCCCCATCCCACAGTAACCTCTGTGTGCCAGCTGTCTGGGGGTGGGGTGATGTGGCTGCTGGAGGCACTTGTGGCAGGTAAGAAGCACAGATACCTCTAGCATGCTCTTTTGGAGAATATTTTTTGAAAAAGTGTTGACTCTGACTGTTCCTACAGCTTTGCTTACTTGGCTTTACAGGGGCTTTCCCAGCTTTGGAGAAGAAGGAAAGAGAAACCAGGTGGGAATCACTGGGTGATTCTGCCACCCACAAGGCTAGGCTTGCTCAGCGCCTGAACCCTGTTATTATGTGTGTGTAGTCAATATTGGATAATTCTGCCCAGGGCACTTTACTTTTCTTCATGTTGATCAAAACCTATATTTTTCTCAGTGAAGTTGTCACCAGCATTATTTCTGGTTGCATATAATATATGCTTTTTCTCTCTGAGTGTTTTTTGAGCACAGGGAAGTAGCTCTAAAGCCATGAAGATCTCAGGAAGGATAATTTCAAATTGTGTTTCCCTGTATAATAGTCATCCAGCTCCAGAGTGGGTAGAATGGTGCCATTTTCTGTAAGCTCCCTTGCTTTATTGAAAGGGAGCAATAAATGAGCTTATTCAATGTAAACTGTCTTTTAGACTTATTTTCAAGTTGTCAGGGCCTGGAGGGCATTAATAGACTTCAATTTCCCTAAGCAGCCTCATCGGGCCCCACACCCATGGCCACAGGAATCCCAGCTGTGCTCAGCCCTGAGCCCTCTGTCCTCTCAGCTATGTTGTAGCTGTGCTGGTCTGCAGCCCTGTCTCCTGGATGGATGCCTTGGACCTGTGCTGTAGGCAGCTCCTCTCCTGGATGGACCCCTTGGATGTAAGTTGTAGCTTACCCCCAGCCCCATGCTCCTGATGGACCCTGGACCTGGTTCATCGCTTGCTGTGGCTGGGGCTGTTGACGGACCCAGTTACCAGGCCCGGCTCTGCCCACTGTGCTCAGGTCTCATGGGATTGCACCCTACCAGTGAGGGTACTGCCTGTGCTGGGGTGCCTCCTGGCCATCCCCATCCTTTGGGGAGCAGCTGGTCTTCGCTGCTCCCTGACAGACCCCCCCAAAACAGTCTGTATTTTCTTTTGTATCTAGATTAATGATGATACATTAATAACAGAGCTGGAGCTTAGCCTCAGCCCACACAGAGAGCCTGAGTGACAGCTCTGTGACCCTGGACGGAGGAGCCCCTGGCAGGAGCACCCTGTCCTGCCCAAGCTCAAATGTTGCAGTGGGCACAGGCTGAAAT